TGATAACTAGTACCTAATTGGTTTTGTACATCTCTGTTCATCAATAGCTCCTAGACAGTAAAAATTCTGTTTCATCTTGTTGTACAGTTTGGATGTAAAATGACCGTGAGCATATCTGCCAGATAAATGTACTCAGAGGTAAAATGCAGAAAACTTATATTAACCCAATCAAGCAAACCTCATCGCTGCTAAAAATCTAAAACATAGAAGATTGCAGATGTTAAATAGTAGCTATCTCAAATGCACATATCTTCTTTTTATATTTCAGTAAAAGTAAGCAAAACCACTGCATATTTATAAAAACTAGCATTCAGGAGTCTGTCTTACTCAGGCTGATTGTTATAAGCTTTCTGTTTGGGTCTCTGGGATTTTGATTTGTTCTGGTGTGAGTGAGTTTCTTGTTACAGAGAAGATCTTTGCTGGTGGCTGGGCCGACACTGACTTGATGTCAAAAACGAGGCGAAGGATAAAATCTCTTCGCAGAATGATTACCCCTGATGATATTGTGGTTGAAATTAGTCTTGTTGTGAATCTCTTTTAATGTGACCTCTGTTTTTGTTCCAGCAAACCAGTGAACCTTAGTCTCTCTCCAACCTTCCTACCTGTGTGCAGCAGTTCTCAGTTTTCATCACTCACTCACATTCTCCTGGACCTCTGGGGTACAGTCTGCAAACCCGGCTAATCAAACCCCCACAGATCCCTGCTGTCTCCCCTTCATCCCTCAAGAAATCAAATCAATCACTAATCAATTGTCATCAACCATCTCCTTCCTGATCAGTCTGCATTCTCTCCTCAGACCAACCAGAAAGTTCAACTGACTTCCTGCAGTTCTTTGCATTCAGACTTCCTCCCAGGTTCTTTTTATAAATAAAACGTTAAAACTCACTGGTTCTCTGTTTGATTCTGCATGTGGTGCAAAAGCTACAAACCAACATGACACTGATTCGGACCACCACATCAAGGACGTAATGTTTAGAGTCTCTGAAAAGCAGCTTTAAAAGCAAATGACCTTTAAAGAGAATGGTTTCCAGTTCTGTTTAAGTCTGTGTACACTGGTGCCTTCATGTGGCAGAGGTTTGGGAGGACAAACACAGTACTTGATTGCTGATGTAAAACATGCAACGGCCATGTTAAGCTTCCCTAATTTTAAGGGAGGGCTGCACAGATCCCTCTAAGATGTTATTATAAGACAGCAATGCGTCAGATTCACTGGTTGGATTGAAACCTTGGCAAAGGCTACTTCCAACTCCTAAAACCAAGCCTTACTCCACCCGTCTACCTGGGTGGCTGAAAGAGGCCTCCTTAATGATTCATCTGAGGAGTCCAGAGTTTCTTCCTGTCGTCCAAGGAAATCCTCCAATAAAAAAACTATATGGTTATCCTCTTAATCCAAGGATTTTGAATACCCTAATAAATCTCAATCAAGTTAATCTGTCAGCACAAATGATAGCTAAGGTGGATGACCGCATCTCTAAGGAGTGGTTGTCGTCATGCATTTTTTATAACAGGCCGAATTTCATTTTTTTGACAACAATGCCAGTGCTTCTCTTTGCAAAAAAATAAAAAAGCAACATTTGTTGGTTTGTTGTTGCTCTTTGCAGTCATTCAGATAATCCTTCCTTAAAAAGGGGCATTTTTGTTTAATTCATATTGACATGTTTCATAATATGACCTCAGCACTTTCTTTAGGAGGAGACCAAAAAAACAACATACAAGGTGTGTCATTTCTATTTTACTCAACAGGTGGGAAAACCAAACCTACTGCTGTTTGGTTACCATGGTAGATTCATTGCTTTGCTATCTTTTAAAAGTCATTCAGGTGGAGCAGAGGGCAGTCAGTTCTGAAGGTGTGTGTCTGTGTGTGTGGGTGTGTGTGTGTAAGGCAAAGGCTACGTAAAAAAGTAACCATAGCAAACCTATCCCACACTATATGAAATAAAACTTGTTGAGTAACAGCAGCTTTCCTGTCCCACAGATAAAGTTACAAGCCCAATCTGGAGTCGGAAGTTATAGATATTTGCTGTTATGATTACATACAAAGATCAGATTCAGAACTGATTTCAACCCACAGGCTGATGACATAGTCACCATTACGTAATCAGTCAATTTTCTGCATTGTTTCACCACAAAGAAACAAGGCAGCAGCTGTGCAGCAGGCTGTTGGCTCTAGTCCAGCTCTCCTTTGCTTACATCATAGGAAACAAGGACAGTGCCGGCAGCATCATGCTGCGGGATGCTGTTCTGCAGCAAGGCTGTTAAAACTGGTCAGGGATGATGGAAATACAGGTAAAGCTAAATGCACAGAAATCCAGGCTGAATCTAAGTCTGATTAATGTTGAGCTGTGGAAATATGCCATGAAAGACTTGCATAAATTTAAAGCAACATGCATGATTCAATTTTCAGATTATTATATTAAAAAAATAGAAAGATTAAAAGAAAAAAATCTAATTTAGAGTTTTGACTTGACAAAATGTTCATAAGAAAATTTTATGACATGACTTTTTGTTCTTCAGGTGGCACTGTTATATTGAGTTAAGCTCCTTCATTTTGTTCATTTTGTTTTCTTTTCTCAAACTTTCATTATTTCACTTTGGAGCTATCCTCTCAAAAACAGTCAGAGTCACTACCTTAGAAAGAGTAAAAACTTGTCATTAAAATAAGTTCCCTGGAAAAGTTACATGTTGGACTAAAAAGTAGACTTAAAATATCAATTTTATCTTTAAAGGTGTGATTGTATTTAACGTAAAAAAACTGCACCTTCTGTAGAGATGCTGCATCATCGTGATCAGGATGTGCTAAGCTTTCTGATCATGAAGAGTTTGTAGTCATAAAACATTATATTTTGAATCATGTCAGAGAGCGCGTTCACAAGATGAAGGTTTGCAGAAGTTTACCATTTAATGCTAAACATAGTGAAATCAAACCTATATTTCTGATATAGAAATGTTTAAAGTTATTGAGCCTCCTGCACTTTCCTTTCACCCAGACTGGTGATGGATAAACAGGAATGTTCAATGAAGACGTGATTGATTACATGTTTTGTTTATCTAACAAAGATGTAGATCCATCCCATTCAGAGCGTAGTGAAAGCCGTCCTTATCATTAGTCACTCTGCAAACTAATATGAATAAAAGAAAAGGACTTTGTTTAATCACTGCCAGATTTTCTTCTATTTATTCCAACGTTGTGTATGCTAAAGGTCAGTCATCTTACCTTTCCATGGAGTTAGGACTAATAGAGCCAAACGTCAACGCATCAGGGTGTGCAAAACCTTTGGATATTATAATAACCTTTGACCTGCTGGTAGTAATATAACACTAGTGTTAGCAACAAATAGGCAAAAGAATAGACCATAAACGCTATAAAGACAGATATTATTTTATATAGTCTAACACATTAATAATGGATTTTGGTTAGGGTTAATGTTAAAATATCAGTTAGTGTTGCACTGTGGAGTAAACATTTACAATGTTACTTTGCTTTTATACAGGGTCCTTGTTTTTGTTTTTATGGGTCCTACCAGTTCTCCGCATCCTAGTGTGGGTTTACTTTGTGCTCCAACTTTCTCCCAACTAGAAAACATGCATATTAGTAGGGCGGAAACATTTAATTGTATTAATCGTGATTAATCGATTATTGAAACAATCGTCAAATCATTTAGTAATCGATTAATGGTTAACTGGAGTATAGAGACTCTGAAAAATGCCTGACAGAAAGACCCATTTAGGGCAGCAATTATACCAAAATTGCAACAAAAAAACATAATATTTTGTAATTAAGATTTTTTTTTAATTGTCCCTTAAAGGTATAGCTCGTGCACGCTCTGTTTAAAAGTTGCTCTTTGCATCGTCATACAAGCAATGGCGTAACTATCGGTAATCAAAGACTGCAGTTGCTTAGGGGCCCCCGACCTCTTAGGGGCCTGACACCTGGTTGGCCCCCTACGCAATTGTGGACTAGGATCTTTGCAAATGTAATGGTGCGAAAAATTCCTCTTGAACCAACCTGATACTAATATAAATGGCCGAACCTTATTTATACCCCAACCCAGATTTCAACACAATGGTGAGCCGTTTAAACGCGACACCAATAGCAAAGCAGATAGTGGTACTTTTATTTACTATGTTAAAGACTGTGTATAGTTCATTACACGGTTTGTAAAAAATACACTCATATAATATGTTTCAAACTGCAATAAAGATCTTAAAAGAACGATGTATTTGAGTATTTTATTTTTTACAATACGACTTGGAATTATGGGTAATCCAGGGCGTAGATTAAAACCATAATATGCATCCACAATGTGAGCATTAATGTGAGCAATGGTGTACTTCATATGGGACCCACCCAAATTATGTTGCTTATGGGCCTATTGTTGTGTCGTTACGCCATTGCATACAAGCTTACTTTCCAAAAGAAGATTTGCAATTGTTCCACTATGTCAGACTCGCCACTGGTAAGTGAAAATGGAGACGAGCGCGTAGGACGGACTTACGCCAACATATCACCAGAATGATTGACAATTAGGAGGACCAATTATTTTGATGATCCACCCTAAAAAAGAGCATCCTCCACTATACCTTTAATGTGCTCTATCCAGAAATCCTCAAGTGGAAAAGTTTTACTTTCAAATAGTTTGATTTTATAAAATATTTCCTTCCAGGATCCTATCTGATTATTAATCAATTAATCAACAGATTAACCAATTTGCAAAATAATCATTAGTTGCAGCGCTACATATTACCGGTAGATTAATAAATAGAATCAAACATATCATATTATTTAGATTTTTTATAGTTTGTGCCATTTTGCACCACAAGTCATTCAGTGTAAACAAAGATAGATAAAACAGTGATTAAGTATTGCAGAGAAGCTGTGTGTCATATTAACGTAAGTGCTCTGTTTTCTGCACTAATGAGAATCAGTGTGGCTGAGGCCTCTCCCACTGTGAGGAAGAGAGAGAGCGAGAGAGAGCAAGCATTGAGTAGAAGCGTTTCCTCTCCTCTATAAATGCAGCAGGGAGCGCACATCTGGCTGCAGTGAGGCGTGGTTGCTCAGATCTGACAGGTGGCCAAGGATCAGGACCTGCTTTTCTCCTACACACAAACACAACAGCAGCAAGATGCCAAAGTGCCCAAAGTGCCAGAAGGAGGTTTACTTCGGTAAGATTTATGCCTTTTTCTCTGCATTTTTTCCTCTACTTTTAGATCTATCTCATTTCCTGGTTGCTGAAAATGTGCGTCTTTCCTGCTCAAATGAGGAAACAGGAAATCTGAATGAAACGAAAAATGCAACACATGTTTTAAAAACCAATTTAAAAAACCTCCACATATATTTAATTTTACCAAAATAAAAATCTATGTACATTTTTTATGCATTTGACATCTAAGCAATGAACGAGACAAGTATTTCACGCTCAGCACATTCAATTCAAAGCATACATTTTATGTCGAACATTAGTTATAGTAAGAGATAAGCAGATTAGATTAACCTAATAGTAGCCATTTAATTAAAATTTTATTTACTTCTGAGTTGCATGGTTTTTATGTATAAAACATAATGGAAATATTCATATTTGGAGGGGGTGATGTAAATATTGCAAATGAAAAGTTATTTTTCTTCATTTTAAATGGTAATTCGTTAAAATCGCCCAACAGCTGCAGGTTTGATTTGATTTTAAATTAAGAAAAAAATGCATTTAGTCACAAGATACCTGACAGAGTCTCTGAGTTCACTTTCTTATGCTCCTCTGATGTAGATAGATGTTAAATGAATAGTTCACAATCTTTCTGTTTGCCTCTTTTAAAAGTAAATGACATCAGACCTGCGCAACATAATCCAGTTGATTTCTTTATTTTGTATAAAACAAGAGTTGTTGGACCAAGAAGTTATTTAGAAAGGGGCCTAAAGAGGGGACTCCCTTTCCAGTCTCATAAATGTGCATAAGATCTATTCACCTTAGCGTTGGGTGGTTATTTACTAATTAACTCACACATGTCTTAGAAACTGAAATCATGGGTTGGGCACTACTGTTTATGTTTTTATATTAACTGTGAATGGAAGATAAGAAGTGCATCCGGTTGGAGAAAATGTCTGTTGCAAAAGAAAAGCAAAGTGGAATAACAACAAAATAGTTCTTTCCTTAAATTGCTGTCAAATATTTGCTTTTTCTATTGCTTCATTTTTATATCCGACCGTTACTCTGACCGGAAAACCTTTTCTTGCTCCCTGCTCTGCACAAGTTTCACACAGGAAGATAAGCGGTGGTACGCCCTCTACCTCACGTACCTTTCCACATGATGAAGATGTGATGAGGATTTAACTAAACTATAGATATTAACTCCTTATAAAGCTTTAACTCCTTATAAAGCTTTAATAAAACATCATTCCAAATTTTTTGGAATTCTCTCTTTAAGGATTCATCTCCATAACAACCATGTATTTTTCTGAGGTTGGAATCTTTTGGGCTAAAATAAGTCAGAAAATGCAGCATAGCTGTGAAAAAGGTATAATAGTCATTATGTATAGTATAATATAGTATATATAGTATAATAATAACTCTATAGATTTGTGCTGCAGCAGTCTCTGGGTTCTCTGCCCTCTGAGCTTTTTCATTATGAGGTTAATTTGGATTGGAAGATCTTTGCCTGATTAGGGACCCAATCCTTCACCGTATCTAAGCTCCATGAGTAAAGAGCAGAGCAGAGGAAGTAGGTTTCTGATTTTGTAAACTACTCCCTTATTCTGTGTCCCACGAGATGGCCCGGTCAAAGCAGATATTAATCACCCCACGACTCCATGTTTTTCTTCTGTCTCTGTCCACCAGCAGCTTCATTCTTGGTCAAAGTGGCGTGGAAGCCAAAGAAAAGCGCAAAGCCAAGTGTTTGGACTGTGTGATCGTTGAGCCAGTCGTTCTGTTCTCCTTCATGGTTAATCTTTTCCCTCCCTTCCAATATAATCAAATCAGTCAGCTTCTGCCAGAACAGAACAAGCATTAGGTCTGCCTCCATGATGGAAGTTCTCTTTCATAGCTGAGGGGATTAAAGCATGAAACAATACTTTTTCATTCTTTTTGAAAACAGACATATTTATCTTTAAGTGTCCAAATTAATTTCCTATCTCCTATATAAACGGCCTCTCTATCACATCTTCCCATTGCTGATGCTCAGATGGAAACAATCAAGCTACCGCTGCCTGAATGATGGAGATCCAACAACAGGAGAATGTTTTTCTCTTGTTGGAAGCTCTTCAAAATGTCGGCGTTTTAGCAGCAATACCTCAGCCGAGCCAAATGGGGAGTGTTTTCGTTTACCCTAAGGCATTGAGTGAAGGAGAATTTTTTTAAACCACAAAAATGAGCTCCGCTTGGTTTCCCACATGAGTTATTTACCTTGACGGTTATGGGTTTGTTCTTAATTGCCCTTGGATAACTATAACAGCCCTAAACAGGAAGAAGCCTTAAAAAGATTTATAAACCACTTATATCTTATCTGCAGTAGAAAACAATCTTGGTTATCTATTTATTTTATTGAGAAATCCAGATTAGTTTGCTAGAAAAGGTTGAAAAAGAAGGGCTAGTCCATAAGGGACTAAACTAGGGCTGCAACAAACGATTATTTTGCAAATCGAGTAATCCATCATTTGTTTTTTCAATTATTCATTTATTGATCAGATAGCGAAAGGTTTCCTAAAGAAGATTTTTTGCCAATTTAAACCAGATGAAACACAAACTTTTTTTCCGCTTGAGGAGTTCTGGATACAGCATATAAACCGACAGAAAAATGTTTTTATCTTAAATGCTAAAGGTTTATGTATTTTTATTACAATCTTTGTATAATTGCTGCTCTAATAGGTCGCTCTGGCAGCTAAAGGCCTATTTTATAGTCTGTACTCCAATTAATTATTAATCGATTACTAAATTAGTTGACGATTATTTCAATAATTGATTATTACAATTAATAAAATTAATTGTTTCAACCCTCGACTAAACCAAAGCACTCTTGTAGTTCTTAAAACAGTCCCATTTGCAAAGAAACTTCACAGCGGAATAGGTTTAAACTATTCATTGGATGGTTTTGTTAGTAAGAAGCATATGTTTCTTCACAGGAGAGGCTGAAAACGGGCTGTAAAAATAAATCGTGAGAAAGCGTCTTCGGTCAAAGGTCTGATGGAAATGAAAATCAACATTTTGATTGCAGTTTATAATTCTTATCGCCCCTTGGTTTAATGTTTGAGTTACTTTGACCGAAAAATGCATTTCATGTTCTGTTGTTGTGTTCCAAACAGGACGATCACTGGTGCAACAGCTCCTACTTCCTATTTCCTGTGTATACAATCATTTCCTTATATGTAAATTACCACCAAATGCAAATATGATGAAAATTTAAACGTTTTTCTTATCAAAATTGTCTCCTGACTTCTTTCTAGACAGTAAATGTTCACTTTGCTGTTGGTCCCTCTCAAATTACCAACTACCTAATCTGGATTAACACCAAATTAGGACACATAAAAGGATGAAGGATGATGTTAACTTATAAGTATCCCTTTTTAAACCAGATTAGACTTTTTGCGCAACCGATTCTGACAACGTCTTTTCATTAATCTTTGCTGGGATGGAATGAACCAAAGGGTTAACCAGCTGATGACGTGTTTTTCCTGTGAGTTTCGTGTGTCTGTGTATACTGGACTGCTTCCACAGTGCTCCAGGCAATGAGGGTTGATACAGAAATCCAAAGGGATCATTTGTCCTCAGTCTTTCATACCTCATTTAATCCTCATTTTATCAGGTAGAAACATAACAGTTGGCCTTATCAGACAGATAAAATGAGCATAATTACAGCAGATTAGAGTCGACCCTGTTTATCTTGTTGGGCTAGCCCTCTTGTTTACCCTACCTAGTGGTTTGTTATTGGAGGTTAAATAATGATTTGCACAGGCTGGGCGTTTTTGTCCACCGCATTCAGTTGAGATGTTTTCCTAGACTTGGCTCAAGAGTCTGACCCACCTCAGGAGACTCTTACACATACTTCTCATGGCTTACTTGTAATCCTTTGCTACAGTCGGTTATTTTTAGGGCCAAAATGATTCATTTCCTGACATGATGTGTATGTTTGGAGGCTAGTGGCTTTGCCTGATGTTGTGGTTGATTCCCATTCTTTTCAGTATCCACAGGCATTACTGAGCATTAGGAAAGAGATTGGAGTTTTCTTTGGACTATTTGCAAATATCAAAATAAAAAGAACATATAAACCATGTTAAAAATCTTTTTTCAGCCTCCAAGATTATTTTTTCAATATATACTCATATATAAATGACATTTGTAGATACAGAAGAGCCGTTCCTTTAACATAACCCCTTATCTCTAAGAGGTATTAAATAATCCAAGATGTTTTCTATCTATTATCCATGTCATGCCATGGATGAATGTTGGTTGGGTGCAAAGAAAACACAATTAAAATTATGCTATTTACTAAAAACATTCCAGATACAGATAATTGCTATTGTATTGATTTTCTTTCTATTTTTTAACACTAGTGATAAAAATCACTAATATTGTTTCACCACCCAGCCCCTGTTGCTTTGATCTAAAATAGAAAAGCAACGATTGCTTTGCAGCTCAGCCATGATGCGCTCTCTTTCACCTCTCTGAATGTTTTTTTTAAACAGACTTATTTGTGTCTTGGTGAATTTGGAAAGTGCAGCAACCTTTTCTGACCCAGCTGACCAGCAGTGCACAGCAACAGGTTGGGGAGAGGAACCTCTGTTAATGCTATACACAGGAAGATTGAGGGAAATTTAAGTCATTTAGATTATTTTACCAATTAAAATGAGAAAATCTGGCCTGAAGCTACTTTACCCACCAGGACAGAACTCCAATAAAATTTTGTATCCTTCCATTTCCTTCCAGCAGCGATTCTCTCTTTCTTCACCTCAACTGGAGACTCCTGGTTTTAATCTAATCTTGGTGTTTAAACATAAATAGTTAAGTTCCAAATCATAATGCAAATCTACATCTAGATGGAACCATTAGCTCCTCGTTTTCAAAAAGCCGCAGCTCTGCTTTCCTCATTTCCTTTCCGATAAAGGCGTTCTCACTAAAACATGTTTTCTTTATTAGTGGATGCAAATCCTCTGTCTCACTTCTCCTCCTGTCATGAGTGCAGAAAATGCATTTGAAGCTCTGTCAGTTCTAAGGCAGATCCATAATGCAGGGCGGTTCTGCTATATGTCTTCCCTCTTTTACAATTCTCCTGGGTGGATGTTTTTCACAGATCATCCACAACTGATAAAGTTTTATCAGACTTTATGAGGCAAAAGGAGAACAGATTCCCTCAGGGACAGTCTGTCTTTTTTCCGCCCCTCGACCACACCTAACAGTAATCTGCACTGAGTTCATCTTTGTGGTTTAAAGTAGACACGGGACTAAAACTTCCCAGCTCCATGAGCTCATGTGCCCTGCAGCCGGACTCTGCGGCTCCCATCTCCTCACCAGACGACAGTGCAGGTCTTTGTTGCAGAGGTCATTCTGCGATTGTTATTAATTTCTCTCCTTTTTGTGTGTTATTGCAGCTGAGAGGGTGACGTCACTGGGGAAGGACTGGCACAGGCCATGTCTGAAGTGTGAGAAGTGCAACAAGACGCTGTCTGCTGGCTCACATGCGGAGGTGAGCTAATTAAAATTAAATTTCAATAAAAGCTGTGACTCTTACAAATAATTTGATTACTATTAAAAAAAGATGCCCCCGATTTTTTTACTAGTTTTAATTGCTGATTGGAATATCAAGAACTAGGAAATTATATTTTTCCCCCATCATGTTTTCAGTCAATTATTTAAACCATAACAAGTAAAACTATGAGTTAGTTTTAAAGTTTTAGCAATATTAGACATTATTGATATACATATCTTTAATAAAAGAGAAGGGTACTTGGAATCTCTCAATTTCTTTGTTGGATTCAAAACAATTTAATCTGTTAAAATAAGAAATAAATAAAAAAGTAGTGTATTAGTGCTTTTTTTTTTTTTTTACATGCAACAGATATTAGAGGAAAAAAGTCAAACCTAAATCAGCAGGTCAGCCTTTAAAAAATTTCCAGAAACAGGAATCGTCCAAATAAGTTCAGAGAGGTGCATTGTGCATTTCTACAATAAAAAATAACCAACAGCTTGAATTAAATCAACATCTAATTTGACTTAGCCTCATTTTATCATAATAATAACTTGTTTTACGTGTTTTTCCTCCTACAGCATGAAGGCAAGCCGTACTGTAACAAACCCTGCTATGCTGCAATGTTTGGACCTAAAGGTAATCCATCATTTCTTTAAATCATATTTTTTATCCAGTCACCCCCTGAACTCTTAAAAACAGTCCCAAACTGTAAATATAATTATATAAATGCAGGTAATATTTGTCAGATACCACAGGACTGTTAAAGTTTTTAACATCCTTGTTACTATGGTGTCCCGTTTTACATCTGCAAATTGCCCTTTTAAAACCTAATGTCTGGTTTTTCTTCCTGTCATTTAGGGTTTGGACGTGGTGGTGCCGAGAGCCACACCTACAAATAGACAGGTACTGTCCCCATATTTTCATGCCATTTGCATAGACTTCCTTGGAACACGACTTGTCTTTGCACTTGGACCTGTGTAACTTGAGCTTGCTTTGCTTCATCTGCAGGGCGAAGCATCGCGGCGTGAACGCTTTGTGGGAACAAGATTGAAGAAACCAAACCTCTCAGACAATGGAACACCTCTAAACAAATCGCTCGCTTCCATGCGGGGAACCAATTTGAATGCATTTGCTTTTGTTTGACCTGTTTTAGGCCATTTTGGGGGTTTTTTTATTTTGTAATTTTATGTTAAGTCATGGTGACATTGTCCTTTGGCTTCCACTTTTCCAATGAAACATTATGAAATTTGTGTCTTTGATTTTTCTTTATTTTGTGTCTTTTTTTTTTTTGTTTTGTAAAGAAAAGTTCTGACAGTTTTTCCACTTAAGCAAAGTTTCACATCAAATGACAATTATAGTAGAGCACTGTCATAAAATATATATGACTTTTTTAATGTTGAAGCCTAGTTTCTTAAAAATAAAACCCTGGACATGGCACCGCCAGAGGCTGTTCTTTCATTAATGGTAATTAAACGAGATTTTCCTTTTATGAGTTCCATCGGCATCTTTAGTATGGACAGAATAATTACAAATTACATTAGATCCAATTATAATTTCCACTTTTCAAGCTTGTTTGGTTTCCAGATGGCGAACGTCCAGAAAATGTTTGACAATCCTCTCATTGAATTGTTTATTGTGACTGATGCTCATTTTTTTTTATTTTTTTTTATTTATCCTTTATTTAACCAGGTAATACCCATTGAGATTAAAAATCTCTTTTGCAAGGGAGACCTGGCCAAGATAGGCATCAGTCGCTGTTTGAAGTTAGAGAAAGAGCAGATTTAGGAGGCCATTTGAAATAAAATGATCTTTTCTTTGACTTTTTTATGCATGTTATTAAGGCTTCAAGATAAAGGCTACTTTTGAGCTTACAGCTGTTTCAAATGAATTATTAGACTTGGTTATGTTAAGAATTAGAAGATTCTAAAGGGAAAACAAAAGGAGTTTATCATTTGATAAGTTCTATGACTAATCACTTATGTTAAAAGTAAAAATTTCCTTTAAAAACACAGCTCTCAAAGGAAATATTAAAAGTGGCTGATACAGATTGGACTTAAAGGGTACTTCAAAAAAAAATTCAGATGGGTCCATCTGATTTAAATAAGATAAATATCAAATTTATTGTAGCTCAAGTGGATGTTTGACTATTCTTAGCAGTTTTCAACAAACCACCTTATTCCGTTAGTCTATGGGTGTAAGGCGGGGTCCACCCTGGGCAGGTTGCTAGTCTGTCGCAGGGCAACCACGCACACACTCACACCTAAGGACAATTTAGAGAAGCCAATTAATCTTAACATCATGTTTTTGGACTGTGGGAGGAAGCCAGAATACCCAGAGAGAATCCACTTATGCCCAGGGAGACGATGCAAACTCCATGCAGAAAGACCCCAGGATGGGAATCGAACCCAGACCTTGTTGCCGCAAGACAACAGTGGCAAAAACTGTTCCACTATTCAGTTTTCAACTTGAGAGGATCAGTTGGTTTAGTTTATGAAAAAGAAAGTAAAGTTCGTAATTGAGCTCAGAATCTGACGCTCCTTATCAGATGCATAGTTGTTGCCCCTGACTGAAGCCACTCCGGGTGGGAAATCATCTGACTACAACATGAATGACCTTATTTGAGCTTTATCTGCAGGCAGAATTGATGGATAAATAAATATTTTTCACATTGGTTATAAGGTTTCCTGTTTCAAATGATTTGGTCATTTAAAAATAAAGCTCCATTGCAGAAACAGGAAACACCTCAAGTATTCTGTGGACACAACTCGATACAAAGGTCTATCTTTGAATGATAGAAGCAGCTATAATGAGGGGGATTTTCCAAATGTGAAAAAAGATAAAAAGAATGCAAAATACAAATGTGAACAAGAACAATATCATGCAATGCAGCTGAATATTTTCCAAAGTCAGGATTTGAAATGCTTTCATCTCAGTAGCAGTTGTGTTTGCATTCAAGGCTCCACCCATCCTGATAACTTTTAGATTAAATAACATTCTTAGAGGATCTACAGCTCCATCAGATCCTTCTTCTTTGCATGTCTTTCTGCAGCTATTTGCTCTCTGCACAGCTGCTCTCAGTCATGTAGCACTATGCTCCCGCCTGTATTGTCCAACAGCTGCTATGGCAACCGACACAAACAAGCCCCAACAAACAGCCCATTTGTCTGTCTGTCTGTCTGACTGCCTTCATGCCACCCTCGCTCGACTAACAAAGACGCTCCCTGTGACAGAAGAACCTCCACCAAGGTCACTGGGACATGGAGCCAGTGATGGAAACATGCAGAGGATGTTTGGCATTTTAAATTCAAATGTTTGCATCATTTGGTTACATCTGCAAAGCAAAGAAGCCAATTGTAATTTTCAGAAATTGTATCCTTAATTCAAAGGCAAAAAAAAGTTGTGATTGCTCTTTTGTGAAGTCTAAAAATAGGATGAATTATCTTCATGTTTGGATCGCTCCTGCAATAATATTTATCCTGTCCAAAGATGTCTGTCATCTCATTTTGCACAGGAAATCCCACACCTCTGTAGTCGCGGCTGATGCGTCCAGATGTTTGTGTGAGCCTTGGCATGGATACACCTCCCAGCTTGATCCTGAACCTGATATGCAATTCTGGAAGCTCAAAGTATAAACACAAGGCAGATGAAATCCAAGAAATGTACAGAGGAAGGCGCCAGCTGCATGTCTGGCCACAGCTTGATTCATGATCTGGAAGCCTTGAGTATTAAAGAGAGGATCATTTCCAGGCGCAATTTTAATGAAAGCATGATGCGAGAAGAAAGCACCGTCATAAAGTCTTAACAGTGACTTCCACTGCTCTTAAAATTAATTGTTTTCTATTCACTCAAGGAGAAAGAGAACGAAGCTGTGGGAAATTTACCAATGACGACCTGCTGTGTCAACATAAATTAGGAACCCAAACAGTCATGAAGCTTTTAAATTAGACCCATTAACACAGTAATGGCTGGAAAATAAGGGTTTCACAGGTACCATGATGCACACAGACATGGGTGGCCAGAGCAGCTTAAAGGCTGAGGCAGTTGGACTAAAAATGAAGAATGAATTGCAATACTTCACAAAAGTATTCACACCTCTTAAACCTTATACCTAACTTATAATCAAATAATTCACTATGTTGAATTAGGATCTTATGTGTTATGAAAACCTGGATAGTGGAGCCAGCTTTATTCTAACTCAGGAGTAGGGCTGGGTAAAAAAATCGATTTTGAATCGATTCCTTTACATTTTTGCAAAATCGATGTCTAGGGAATGAGATCGATTAGTTTTATAGTGACGTGAATGAGCAGGAAAGATGCTCTCGAAATTTCTTCAAGCCTGTCATGATTTTACTAAAGTTCAGACCCAAATGCAGAAGACCAAGCAGGGAGACCAGGGGAAAAGGTTTAACAGGTTTTATTGAAGAGATCATTCAGAGAGAAGTGTAGCTCTGAACACTGCTCAACAGGAACTGAAAAGTGAGGGGAAGACACAGTGGTTAGTTCAGGCTCAGTGAGAAAATAGATTCATGAACTTGGAGAAGAGGATTTGGTTGCTGACTCACGTTTCCAGAGAAGTTGTTGAATCTTTGACTCCAGTCTCTATGCTGTAGTTCCAGTGTTTGTCTGATTCTGGAGGGCGGAACATGGTTTACCCAGAATGCGGTTGTTTGTAGTTGAACGGAGAAACGGACTGCCACTCAGATTTCCTGCGGTACTTGAACGGGCCGTAATGGAGATGAATCCCTTTCTCAGTGTGAAGCTCAAACGATCTCTTGGGGAAAGTGGATCCAAACCTCCTGTTTGAACCCCAGCTCAGTTTGAAGCCCAGTTGATCCTTCCAGGGAGAGAAGGTCCGAAAAAATCCATTTTACAGGATGACTTCCTGCCGAGAGGCAAAAGTCAAACAATGTTAAAACTCAGGTTGACAAGAACTCAGTTTGACTCAGCAAAACTCAGCTTGGCTAGAGTACCCAAAACTGGCAAACACTCTGGCGTTGAGGTAGTGACAGACAGCAGCTTGAGAACACTCCGTTAATGAGGAAACCATCAGCAGGTGTGTGAGGAGCCGGACCAGGACCAGGCGCTTCCTGGTGGACGAAGGAGGACAAACACAGAAACACAAACACATAGACGGGAGTCCTGACAAAGCCAGACAGCTGCAAATATAGCCAATAGGTTGACTGAAGACATTAACAAATAGGGGCTGACCAGCAAACCCTGTAGTTATTACAGATAACCCTGAAAATATAGTTTGTGCAGTGAAGATAATACAGCTCATGCATGTCTGCTGTGTCCCCGCTGTGTCACGTCTGCTTGCTTGAGTAAAGCTTCACTTTTTCACTTTTCACGAACAAGTTTGAACTTTTGAGACAGTTTTGTTCACATCTCAAGTTTAAACTGTCCGATTTACAATTTTGTACTTTGCGTTTAATATGACAGGAAAAAATAAAATACATGAGTATTTTGAAACACAGTTGAACCACTTTCATTATTGTAAAAACAGATCGAATCGCAATTAATCGATTTAGAACTGTATGAATCAAAATCGAATCGATTCAGGACTTTGGCGAAAATACCCAGCCCTACTCAGGAGAGGAGAGGGGAAAAAATGACCCTTTCAGCCAAAATGCTTTGTGTGACAGAAAACCACACCCTGAAAAAAATAAACATGGTAGTGGCAGCATCATGCTGCTAGAATATTAAGATAACTTGTTAGCAGAGAACCTGCAACTGAGTCAGAACTTCACTTTCCTCCATGACAAGACTTTAAACATGGTAACATAGTTACCATAATGGTAACCATGTTTAAGTCCAAATGAAAAGCTGACAAGGAGAAACTGTTTCAGTTAACTTTTTAAAGTATTTTTTAATATGATAATATTGCAACTTTTATACTTTTTAAGAATAAAAACCTCCTGAAACTTCTTTTCTCGTTTTTCTCGTTTCTCAAATAAGTGGAAAGAAATTCTTAGTTGGATGTTAATTTAAAATTTCCCTAAAATGGATTGATCTAGACCACTGCTGCTCGAGTTGTAAAACCAGGGTTGGTCTAGGAAGGCAACCCATCTCTTCTATCTCCGGCCGTTAATAGTCCCTAATAGTTTTTTTTTTTTTCAGGGTAAGGCCTATTTTCAGACTCTGGTCCTCTTCCCATCAAACCTGATCAGCTTCTTGGTCCTCCACATCATGATGCTACCACCACCAGCTCCCACTTTGGCAATGATTTGTTTTTATTTCATACCCAATATACCCATGTTTAAAAGACGCTTAAATCACCCTCCAAGCACATTACTGAGCCAGAAGGTGACTTCTCAAGGAAATAAGTTTCACCAGATTATATTAAGAGCTATCACTCAAAAGGAGGCTGATAAAACTTTTGTAGTTTTTTAATTGTTAGAAATAAAAAATTTTTTTTTAAAAAGTATAATTTCACATCCCCTTTG